ACACAAGATTTCATATAATGTTTCTCCTGGAGTCAAGGGTGGTGGGGTAATTGATATGGTGTTTATTTATTTAAGCACCGATGACAGCGTAAAGTGATGTTTGCAGTGGCTAATTCTCAAGTGGAGTCATATTTTTAACGTAGCAGACAATTGATTGAATTACAAGGAAAGTCATATATTTCTTAAAGCAATGAAACTGGTGAAAGGTAAATAGTTTGGAATAGGGTTGTACAATGAATCAAATTTTAATCGAGATTCAGTCATTTTTCAATTTTATTTCTTGAGTCTTTGAGGCTTAGAGAGGTGTACAGCCAACCCTCTGTGAGTAAAAGGATTTGGTGATATAAAATTTGAAGGGCCCATATTCTGCAAATTTCTGATCTATGTTATAATGACGTTTTCCCATCACAAACATACCTAGAGTTGGGTTTTGTTTCATTCACACATGTTTAACACACAAAAACTGCATATTAAGGCTGAGCTCCTCTTTCACACAGAAAACATTCCATACATCATCACTACAATCATTTGGATCATCTTAGCCCTGGAATTATAAACCTTTACTGGACTAATAGTAAAAGGTAGCTGCTAACTTGAAAGCTGCCTTCATGACATCACAAGGTGAAACTGAGCATTTTGAGCTCTGAAGATGTAGATATACAATACAGGATTACTCCAACATGTGTAAATAAAACAAAAGACAACTCCAGGTCTGTTTTTGAGGAGGTAACAACATTATAACATGGCTTAAACCTCACAAGAGTACATTTGTGTAATATTGGACCTTTAAATAAAATTAATATAGGAAAGAAATGCATCACCCGAGCGTTACTTTTGAAAAACAGCAAGAAAAAATGCAGGCCTATACGACAAAACACTTTAGTCTGTTGGAAACTTTGTTGGATGGAGGGAGTTTCAGAATCACTCCACTGTTCAAAGCTTAAAACAAATATTTTCTGAGTAAATACTCTAGTGCTTGCTGACATATAAACTGAGACTGCTATAACTCAGACAAAAAGTCTGGCTGTGGCATTGACCTCTATAAGTGCTAAGAGAACGCAGACCTCTACCAAGGCACTGACTCTACACTGGCCTTGGTAATTCAAGTAATAAAATAAAGTGAATGCATGCAAAATGTACAGATGTATTTTATATACAAACAAACATAAGAAGAGCTAATGTACCTCATCTGACTGCATGGAAACATTGTGGTTGAGTGGGCAGAGCATTTGCCCATTAACCTAAAGGTCAGTGGTTCAAACTCAGTAATTGTGGAGACTTGTGGCCAGTTTTGGGACAATAAACTGTATAAAGAAGTAAACGTCACCCAGAGAGTGTTCCAGTCAAATGAGGCTCACCAAGGGTAGCAGTTATGGGGCAAATTTGGAGCCGAGTTCCATATTAGGAAAAGGAACTGATTTATGGACAAAATAGTGAAATAAAAACACCAGGATCATATGAAGTGGGTTAATACAAACATTTTAAGACCAAATGACAAAGCTCACTGCAGCATTTACAGAGAGTGAGGTGACGTTCTTTCAATGTAAAGTCAATTGGAACCTGAGTCGATAAAGCCAGAAAGAGATGAAGCTATGTCCATTTATATACACAGTCTATGGTTGGGACTAAATACATGTGCGGAAATGGTGGATTCAGAATACAGATTTGGGGTAAGTACTTCTGTACAGTTACTCTTTCATTTGGTGGTATTCAGAATGCAGTAATCAGATTGGGTCATGTACAGTATGTTACAAAATACATTCTAAGGCAGATATTGAGTATTCTGTAGCTAAATACATTTTAAATATTCTTCCTGTCATAGCTGATAGCATAGATTGGCAGCTGCACCTCTCTCAGTCACCCAGGGCAGCTGTGGCTCCTAAAGATACTTGAATGCAAAGTAAATTAAGTCTAATGCGTTAAAATGCCAAATCTTTAAAACATGTGAACAACAGTACAGTTGTCTCGATACCTGACAAGATACAAGTTTACCACATGTCCTTGACTTCTAAGAGGTTTACAAATTGCACATTTTTTTTGCTTGTCCTGTGCGTAAGCCTTCTCACACAAAACCCCCCACTGTACTTTGGCTGCACCTCTTTATCATAAAACATCAGCACTTGGCAGCGATGGTTAACTTATCCCTGCTCTCTGGCCCCCCGCGCCGCCCTGGGAACCTATGAGGGCCATTGTCTCTCCGGCTGGCTGCGGAGCTGGCTGGGTGAAAGGGAGAAGGTACAAAAAGCCGGGCAGGTTTCACAGGCTGAGTGCTTTGTGCGTGCTCCTCCGAGAGAAAAGTGGATAGGGCCGCCCACCCGAAGTAGGCTACAGGTAAGCGGCACTGAGCACAAAAGGAACAAAACAGGAATTGTACGACTGAATGGCCACACATCGCTGCGTTTGACATATGAAGCCTGCTGCAGTGCGGGTATGCCAAGTGGGAGGATGTGATTTCACTTTGTTAGATAACAGTTATAGAAGTCTATTAACTGTAAGAAAGAATGATATGAAAATGTGCTATTACATAAATTCATACATTCATACATTCATAGTTTGCGCAAATAGAAAGAAAGTCCTCTACAGTCATGGTTGTGTTCTAATTCATCATTGGCCGACTGCTGCTGCTGTACGGATTCATTCATTAAACTTTGTGCCAGGTCTATTTATACACCTGAGCAACCTGGCGCAGTCAACCTTCCCACCGGATGCGTGTAGCTGTAAGGCACAAATCCTCCAGCTTAGTCCTGACCAAGACTACCTCAAGATCTGGAGGTGGGTCCCTGGGCGTGGCACTGTGACGCACACTGTTGGAATTGAAGGATGGCTTAAATGTAGAGGACAAATTTCCCTACACGTGGATGATAAAGTATACCTTAATCTCCGTCTACTATGTAACACTTCTTGCATAATAATACTGTTCAATGCCTATGAGAAGGCCAAATCTATTTTTCTCACAATTGTGTGTGCAAATGTACAATTTTATTAGCCAGGCTGGCGCCACCTAGTGCCTCCACTCAATTTCATTTCTCTCCAGCAACTAGGTCAGGAATCAAAATACAATAGTCGGTTCGCAAAAACACAGGAAGTGCAAGTTCGGGCACCAGCCAATCAGCAAAGAGTGATATATTCTGTGTTGTCAACGATTCCCGAGATCGAGGATTTAAAGCCAGAATAAAGAGAATGTTTGGTGAATTTCATCAGGGGAAAAGACGTTATTGCCCTTCTTCCTACAGGATTTGGGAAAAGCTTAATATACCCATTAGCCCCGTTAGGGGCGCATCACATACATCATGACCAAATAGCAGTGATTGGTTAAATGATAAACAGTACCCGCCTACCGTCGAACGAAACAAAATCTAAGGCTGCGAAGTCAGACAGTTTGTACAAAATGAAATGAAGTAAAACTGGCTGATGAATCAGGCTACAATTTTATTATCATTCTCTATGAAATTCTTTCTAAACGTGCATGTCCATAGGATGAAATTTTAATTCTGTTATCTAGATTCAATGTTTCAAACTGTATTGTCTGTGTAAAAACAAATTGCATCCATAAAATATTGGTCAATGTATTGTGTGTCATTTCATTGCATTGAATTGTATAGCATGAATACAATAAATATTCACCTTTAGGGTAATACTGTGCCATGTGTTCTGTAACATAGGCTTCACAAAAGCACTGCAAGATGCCGGTTCAAACAGTATACATTGCTTCCAGAGAGAGTGTGGGACAAAGATAATCCTTGTTACTGGTAAATCAGTAAAGTGTTTTTATTGTTCTTTCAATATGAAGTGTTACATTGAAATACTCGATTTTTACATATAATTAAAAGTTCATTTAATGATTACCTTAAATGAGCAGAACATGCAATTAAATGTTTCTGAACGCACTGTTGTTTACTACTACAGATGCTTAGGCCCACTTCATCAACATCAATCTGGGTGCTCCATTGTTTGAACAGGGGTGCACCCACTCTGTAGACAATAGCCCCCCCCTCCAAAGCCAGGGGAACCTCCTCACAGTAAGGGTCAGTTGAGTTCTATTGTGCTGTGCCATCTTTTGTGTGCACGAGAAGCCTGCAAACTGAACACTGTCATCCATTGTATTGCTAAGAATCAGCTGGGCACTCTTTTTTCAGTAGAGGCTTCCATGTGGTTATGATAAAGTTAAACATGCTCTTAAAGTTAACAATGCATAGGCAAATACGCTTCGGTTTAATGCTGGGAAATGATATTGCAGAGCGTGTGTGTTCTATAGAAGCTGGTGGGTTTTCACAGCAAGGGCGTTGTGCAATTTGGTTACTTAGGCTGTGCAACTCCTATAACATCTATACAACCGTGACCACAGAGGATTTTCACTTTTACATGTATCGTCTTTGGAACTAAAATTAGAAAAAGGCTGATTTTAGATAGAATTCACGTGCCCTTACATTACAAACATATGCTACTTTTTTCATAGATATTGTTTTTATATCAGAGCTAAATGTATGCAAGAGGTTCAAAACAAGACTAGTGTAGGTTAGCTAGCGTACCATAGTTTATGCTGATTGAAGTCAAAACCACAAATCTAATACAATAACGCGTAAAATAACGTCATGTGTTTTGTCCATGATAATATAATAACAGTAATATAAAAAAATAAAAAACACATATTAAAAAAATAAATAAACAACTGAACAAACAAACAAATACATACATACATACAAAGGAAATAAGTATGCTTTTGCCACTTTCATGCCCTATTTTATTACCCAGAAATAACAACTAGATTAAATGTATTTTTAATTTACTACTTTTCCAGCCAAAGAAGCTCAGAATGCTCCAGCCTTTTACTCGTTATTGGAAACATTATGTAATAGCGTCTCCAATTGGTCCGTATTTAAAATCCAAATTTAAATACGCGCTCTGATTGGCCAGCGCCCGTCGAGGAGGCGGGCAGTAGGCGGGGCCAGAGAGGACTCGCGAGCCTCTTCACTTCTGTTTACAGACTGTCGCGCGCCTCCTATCCACGCCACTTTTGTTGATACCTCCGCCAATTTATCACCGAATTTTGGACGTTAAATGAAGGAAAATGAATGAAAAAGACACGCCGAACTCCCATGGGTTCACCTTGACGAAGAAATGCACATTCCAAAGCGGTTTCCATGTTTTTTTCACCCTTGTGTTTTCCCTAACAGGTAGTGTGCTTCAGCGGTCAGTGGCTCTGAAAGGAGACTGAATATCCCGCGTTGTAATCTCTCCTTCTTGACAGCTTTTTTTCGCTCCTCGCTTGGACTCGTCACGACGTTTTCCGAACATTTTCCTCTCTCAACAAACATGGATAACGTTTATTTTTCATCCCGTTGTGGTAGTTTGGTGAATTTGTAACAGGTAGGTTCATTATAAGCGCCCGCAAGCAACAACCTGTCGTCCGCCCCATGTAATTAAGCGCTAATAGCACTTCAAGCTAAAGCGATTGACGGATTTTTCTCTTCAAGTGAAAGTGAATGGCGTTTTAAAGCATGTGTTTGGCATATTTGAAGGAACAGTAGGTATTCTGTCTTTGCTGGTTTATATTTAGCGTATAGGGGCTTGATTCACGATGGCCGGTGAGCGGTCCTCTCGCAATGTCGTCTCGGGCACTGTCCCCATTGTAAATTAAAGCAATTCGTCTCTTTACTGATGCTGGATTGACTTGATGTCTTTTACTGTTGGGGTACAAAATAGTGTAGAAGAAATATGTTGGAAGGGACCATTTTGGACAGTTGGGGATGCTCTATTTTTGTTTAATGGCCTGTAGAGCAATATATAGCTGCATTCTTGACACTAGCCCTACATGTAAAACTCTTTGGAGAAGTACACAGGAGAAGACATGGTTTTTCAAGGTAGCAGAACTTCAGAACTAGCTGTTATTACATATTAATAGCAAAACTCGGTGTTATTGTCTAAGTGACACTTTGACTACTCCCATGTGGACCATGTGCCATTTCAAAATAAAGCACCATGCTATGTGGATGTGGAACTGCTCCTGTCTGGTCATCCAAAACTAATCCTTAATCATGTCCAAATGATATAATGGGACCACAATTAGGACTTTAGGTCATGATAATTACTATATTGATTTATCATTCAATATATGAAAGCTGGAACAATATATTTTGGGGCTCAATAGTTATATATATTATCATTTATTTGCAATAGTGGGGAGGTCTTTGCCATTTTTATGTACTAAGGTAAGGCTTGAGCTTTAGAGGGTTGAATAAACAACTCCTATGGCTAATTAATAGTTCCTCCTGCTATTTATTTGTTGCAGCTCATGCCTTTTAATAATACAGTATATTTAAAAACTGGTTTACTGGGATTATCCTGCTTTGTGTCAGTGACATCAAGTAGTTTCTCTGTAGCAAAATATTGTGCTTCAAAAGGTGTTATCGTGACAGGCCTAACCAGTATTGTAATATTCAGTTTGAACTAACCCTCTGAATACATTTATAGCATCTATAATAAGGTAGTAATCTACTATTCACTTTAGTAGCCTATTTTGTGAAGACACCTGCATGATAATGTAACAAAGGTGGACTAACCAGCCTTCTCTCTGTGCAGATTTTGCCACTATCGGACATGAAGAAGGAGGACGGAGTGGATTAAGATTTTATTTTTTGTTATTTTTATTTTATTTTTTTAAAAAGATTTTTCACTTTTATCTTGGCCTTGTCCTACTCATCTCAATGTGGACTGTTAAAGGACTTGTTGCCCTGGTGCGGTTTGAATTAAAATGATGGCTGCACGCTGGAGTGATTCGCCGCTGGACAACGATGGGAGTAAACACAGAACCATAACTCCATCTTCTGAGGTAGGCTTGTGTTTATTTTGCTGGTATTTCGTATTCAGGCACGTACAGAAAATATATCATGACCCAAAACAAGTAGTGGTGAAGGGAAGATTGTAAAGCCGAGGGGACTGCTGTTTCTGCTGCTGCTGAGGAAATTGGTGGATGAGGGCTGTGCTATGTTGTTTAAATGGCTGGATGTTGGTGGAAAGACTGTTACCAGGCTGGGAGAGAGTATTGTGAAAAATAAAAAAAATCTGAAACAAACCAATATTAAACTAGTATTGAGACTAGACACTAATTTGAACAAGTATCAGAACTAAAAAAGTCATTCACAGGACAGAAATGAACTTTTCCTAAATAGCATAGACCACATAAACACATGGACCACTGTGGATTCTACCTGTACAACTGAAGGATTACACAGATATGAAACTAGTTGGTAATGTAAAAGAAAGTCCTACAATTTAAAGATTACGGGTTAAAACTTACCTTCTAAATAAAAAGTGTTTTTTATTATCGCAGTAATATCAGAATTGGTATTGAGTACCTTTAGAATCAAAATTGAGTTTTAGTATTGCTACAAGGCTACAAGGTGGGGATTACAGTCTTCCTCGATTTTAGATTCAGCCTCATATGTTTTTCCCAAAACATTAAAAGTGTCTATTACTACCTTAGAGCTTATTCCAAACTGATCCGATGACTAATTTAGAATCTCTCTGCATAAATGAAATTGAGTGTGATTTAGCACCACTTCAGCTCATAACACCTCATGTCTGGCTGTGGTAGAGGTGACAGAGTTCATTTTCCTCCTCTAAAAGTATAAGTGAAAACATTGCACAAAGCCAGTTTCTTTCTGGACTTTTCTGATCATACTGGACCTGTTGTGCGTTTGTGTGCCAGACGCTCATAAATGGCACGTTGTAAAGACCTCACCATCTTCCTCCTCGGTTACATCATCATCAAAGCTCATTCTGGACGCCATGCATGTCATAACAGCATTGCAGCGGTGGCATGTTTTTTGGATTAATCTGTCATCAGGAAATGGCAACAGCACTGTGTACAGGGTAGGTAATCCTCTTACTGTGATGGGAGGGATGCATAAATCTTTGGGAAATGGGAAAAGTGAAAGGCTGACAGTGCAAAAGTCAACCTGACAGACTGGAGGATAGCGATGAGAGTTTGTAGATATTTTCAGTGCTTTATAGGGGTTAGTGCGCAACATTTTGACTTGTTTCCTAGTGTAATAATTAGGTTGCACTATCCAGATTTTCAGTTCCAATGCCAATATCAGTTCTATGGCTTTATGTATCTGCCAATATCTCATACAAACTTTTAGTAGTGTAGGGGTTGAAAATGGCATTTTTCTTACTCAAAACCCAGAGTACATATTACAAATTTGATCCAGTTATGTTATGTAACTGTTATTTCATTATACTATGACGACTGAACAGCTTTGTATTTAAGTTCAAACAGTATGAGATGTCCTGGACCTACATTAGTCAGTAAATAGTCTCATTATCCAATTATAGGCCCAAATAATATCATGAAACCAATACCAATCCTGCAAATTTTCCTGGATTAGCACTGATTCTGTAAATTTATCATGCATCCCTAGGAATATTAATCATACTTGTTCTACTTTGACTGTACATAATGCTCATTTACTGTAAATAGATTAATGTTTTCTTTGTTTTGTCTTCTTTTATTTCGTCTTTAAGAGGTAACTAAAGTTATCGACTGTTTGTGAAGGGTTACTCTCACATTGGTTGAACCCACCTGTCACTCACTCAGAGCATGATGGAGACTGGCCACTTGGAGGAGTGGGTGGAGGAAAGTGTCTGTTTTGAGCATAGAGCTGCAATAAACAATAAAGCAGTGAATCACAATGCGGTGATTTGAACAAAATGAGATGATGAGATCACAATTCGATCTTTATCTCCTTATTGTCTAGCCCCAACTGTAAATACAAGTGTATTTTTGTCTGTGGTGTGGACACTGTAACTTCATTGTCAGGTGGCTTGGAAATTTGTGGACAGTTTTTCCCATTTACACTACGGACTACTGGCAATAAATAAGGTTTCTTTGAGCTGTTCTTTTTGTTAGCAGGGAAAATATGTTAGTATGCTCCACTGTTGGACCTTTTGCAGCAGGTAGAGTTGCAGCTGTCACTGATTGTTTTTTCATGCTCTTTGTTTTCAAATAGGCAGAAACTTTTCTGGTCCTTCAAACTCCACTCTTCTGTCCAGCTCTGGCTTCAAGTAGGTGGAAGCTAGAAACAAACCAGATGACCCTTTAGATTGTTGATTGGATGCTTGATGGCATTTCAAGTTTGTATTTCCACTGCATTTCTCACCTTTTATGATGTTGTTTTTATGTTTAGCTATATTGTGAGCTTTTGTTGTTTCCTTTTTTAAATTTTTTTTTATTCAGGGAATCTGATTTTAGACGTCACTCTCTTTTGTACACCTGCTGTGGAGACAAGAATTAGTAGAAGACATTGCAGTAATAGTGAAATAGAAAAGGTGAAGCTGCAGAGTGTGAGTAAGTCTGAATTTAATGTGTTTTTTATCTACCTGATACCAGTCCCAAAAGCACAAATTTCTGCTCAACTTTTATACTCCAGTGCTTCTGAACTGCTCTTCCCCTGGGATTCAATGTATCCTTAGAGGGACTCAAGAATCTCTCCCCCCATTTGCCCCAGAATCATTTCCATTCACTAATGAGGGAGATGAGCCCGTACACACACACAGACGTTAGTCCCGCCAAAGTGATGGTGCCATGGCGGGGGTAATTTAGACCCAGCTGCCCTGGTCATTAGAGGAGAAAACACCCCACGTGGCCAACGTCTGCTTGGCTCCTTTCTTTATTCACTGTCACTGCATCACCGCCCTGCTGTCACTCACGTATTAGGATTTCAGCACTGAGGCAGCTGAGACCTCCAAGTTGGAAAGAAAGGGAATAGTGAAACATACATTATACTGGGACTAGATGGAATTAGGAAAATTTTCAGGCAGTGACAGTGACTTTTTTTGTTTGGCCTAAGAAAAGATCTTTGCAAGAAAATACTGTTAGAGTGAAACTGAGAAATTGTTATATTTGCAAGTATGAGAGCCACAAATCAGTGATATGAAATCTTGATAATGACTAGTTTCACAACATTCAGTTTGTGTCACAGCACTGCTAACAACAACTAGCCTGCTAACGGTGCTCCTTCTGAGTTTGCAATAGATAAAAGATGTTGTAAGATGTTATAAGATGCAGGCAGGTAATAACCAGGCTGGCGCCACCTAGTGCCTGCGCTCAATTTCATTTCTCTCCAGTGACTATGTCAGAAATCAAAATACAGTAGACGGTTCGCAAAGTGCAAGTGCAAGTTCGGGCACCAGCAATTAGCAAAGAGTGATATATTCAGTGTTGTCAGTGATTCCCGGGATCGAGGATTTAAAGCCAGAATAAAGAGAATGTTTGGTGAATTTTGTTAAGGGGAAAGACGTTATTGTCCTTCTTCCTACGGGATTTGGGAAAAGCTTAATATACCAGTTAGCCCCGTTAGCGGCGCATTGCATACGTCAGGACCAAATAGCAGCGATTGGTAAAAAGTACCCGCCTACCGTCGAGCGAACGAAATTTAAGGCTGCGAGGTCAGACAGTTTGTATGAAGTGAAACGAAGTGAAACCAACTGATGAATCAAGCTAGACAGCTAAAGCCATGAAGGAAGAAATTTGACTTCTTGTGTTATGTGGGCCTGATTTTAAGATTTTAAAATCTGGTTATCCATATCTAAAGCCATTTCCATGTATTTGTAATAATACGTAATGAAATTGAATTCTGTGCAAGATTCTGTTACAGTGTACTGGAGAAAAGCTAATTTTACTGTACTGAAAAAAAGTACATGCATCATTCAGTCTAAAAGTGATCTGTTTTCTTTTGCCTGTCACAGTAAATCATTTTCTGTAGTTCCTGAAAATAAACTGTTTGTACTTATATTCTGTTATTTTAAGATAAGATTTCTACACCTGAGCGGTCTAGTCTAGTGGAAACTGTAGTGTAACTCATTGATCTCATCAGTCATTCATGAAAAAGAGGAAGGGACCAATGGTGTGGCTCTAAGTGCTGATGATGCTCTGTGCTATGATTCTAAATATAGCCTCCACCAGCCCCACATACAAATCCCGCTTGCCTGTTTCCTCCCCCGTTCACATGTCTTTCAGCCGTCCTCTATTCCTGCGTGTTTTCACTGATGCCATATTTAACATGTGGAGAAAAAAGGATTACTAGGAGAATAGTAGTAGAATCTGTTTAAAAAGCTGAGTTCTCGTTGAGACAATTTTTTGGGTAATATTGCGGCCATATATTTTTGTGTTTTCCTCCAAAGATTGAAAGAACCAAGTCTCTACACTTCAGGCACCAACCATATATTTATTTGAAACAGTGAATGCAGATTAGGTAATAGTACAAAGTGTCCTCAGAATGGTACAGTGTCATTCGACAATCGCTATTTAGGGGCTGGAACATTCATGACATTTACTGGAATGCGGTTTCTAGATTTGAGATTTACCACTGAAACATCTTATAAGTTAGCAAATGCTGTCATGGAATTGTAAATAAACGCACATATTTATGAATTAGTAATCTAAATGGTATTTTGGGTTCTATTTTTTTTATGCAATACGCGAACACAAGACTGACCTGGACTTGAACTGTTTCCAGTCTATATTGTTGACAGTTGGACTTTGTTTGGCTAAAACAAGCAGTCTTTAAAAGGATCTCTGTTGTGAAAACTACTGCTTTACCATTCCCCCCTTTCACACCCCTATATATAGCATGTCCAGGGGCAACACTTGACAGAACAGTAAACATATAAACTTGTAATTAATCATGTTCTGTCTTGTCTAAAGGGTTAGAATATTAGCCTAATACACAGGGTCCTGATGTTGAGAATATAATTTTTCAGATCTACTGGACATATTATTATTTTTCCCTGGAAATATATTGAGCTGAATTTGAGCTGAGTGATGCT